CACTTTAAAAGCAGAGACAGGAGGATTGCAAGTTCGAGGCCACCTGGGGCTGTGTGGTGAGTTCCTGTGATTTGTTTCTCTGTCTCAAAAAAACAGAAATTAATGGAGAGTGTGGTGGTAGTGGTTAAATGTTACACGTTCTCTTTACTTAATGGAAAAAAAAGGCAGGAGATCTTACTCTGCCTAACTTAGTTACTCTGTCTTGAAAATGAGTACACTAACACTACTGCCTGTGCTGCTTGGAATTTACTCTACACCATTTTCAAGTCTAACACTGTGGGCCAGGCATGTGGGTAAAGGTGCTTGCCAGCAAGCATGGTGAAGAACACAGCCCACTCCTGCAAGTAGCCCTCTAGTCTCTGTATATGCACAAGTCTACACATGCCCACGACACATGCGCACACACACACTCACACACAATGTAAAGATTGATGTAGAAGGTAATATAGCGTCTGGGTATGATGGTACACGCCTTTAATTCCAGCACTTGGAGGCAGAGGCAGATGGATCTCTTAACTTCAGGGCCAACCTCGCCTCCATAGTCAATTCTAGGCCAGCCAGCGATATCTAGAGAGACTTTGTCTAATACAAAAATCACTGACTAAATAAATCTAAAAGGTGCTTGAAGTATTCAAAAGCCCATGTAGATATGTAGCAGTATTTTCATGGTGGCTCTGTTTGCTGTATGAAAGAAACATTACGTGTCTTCTGCAGTGCAGGTGCTGCTGCTGTCTACGGTGTCTGCTTCTGTCCAGTAAGTCTCGCTAAAAAGTAGTCACTCAATTCTAATAACCTTCCTTCTTCTTCAACAACAGTGCCCAATAGACACCAGGAAGCAACTGGCAGAGAATTTGGTAGTCATAGGTGGCACATCTATGTTGCCAGGATTTCTCCACAGATTGCTTGCAGAAATACGGTATTTGGTAGAAAAGCCAAAATACAAAAAGACACTTGGCACCAAGAACTTCCGAATTCATACTCCACCTGCAAAAGCTAATTGTGTGGCCTGGTTGGGAGGTAAGACCTTAGTCCTGAGTGGTGTTACTAGTAAATGTATCAAAGTAAATGATACATTTACTTTGTTCAAAACTTACTTTTCAAAACTACCCACCTCATAAGTAAAGCTGTTAGCTGGGTCATATATATGACTATATCTCTCAACAACCCACCTTTGGAAATGATGTTTGATGTTGGCAAAGTTTAGGCACGGATGATGATGAAAATACTATTTTCCACTGAGCTTTAATAAAGCCCCATAATCCATTCATTTAGGAGGCTAAGGCAGACAGATAGTTTGAACAAACCTGGGCTACATAGTGAACTCCAAGCCAGTGGAAGCTACAAAGTGAGACCTGCCTCAAATGAACAAACAATTTTTACTTAAGTATTACTTTTCAGTAAATTAGAGGAGTTTTTAGAATTATATCCCTGGTTCTGCTGGCCTTTTTTTAAAGTAAATTTCATCCTTAGAGATGGTGTGGTGGCACATGGTTTTAATCCTAACACTTTGGAGGCAGAGGCTGGCAAATCTCTTAGAAGTTTAAAGACAGCCTGGTCTACATGGTGAGCTCCAGGCCAGTCAAGACTATATAATAAAACCCTGTCTCAAATAATAATTTCATTTATATAAAGTCATCCCTCAGAATAGTGAAAGTGACGACTGTTGTGGTGATAGCTGCTCTTACCTAACTGGTGTTAACGGTGGACATCAGTACTTGGGTTCACACTTTGGTGGAGCTCAGTGAGTGCTCTTAAGACAGTACCACCAAGTGAGCACACAGCCTAATACATAAGAAACGTGACCACAGATGTGTACATTCATATATAGTTTATTATCTGATAAAGCCAGTGGCAAGGTCATTCATTTAGAAAGAGGAAAACATGTTAGGAATTTTAAATGAATGTAGTACTATTTCTTGTAAAGTAGAATTTGGTTAATCTTGATTTTTCACCTAGATTAGATTTAGAAGCTGAATTGTTTTTATAAAGATTGCCTTGTGCATTTTTAAAAAAATTATTTATTTTATGTGTATGAGTACACTGTTGCTGTCTTCAGACACTCCAGAAGAGGGCATGGGATCCCATTACAGATGGTTGTGAGCCACCATGTGGTTGCTGGGAATTGAACTCAGGACCTCTGCAAGAGCAGTCAGTGCTTTTAACCACTGAGCTATCTCTCCAATCCCCGCCTTGAACATCTTTAAGATTCTTCTGGTATAAAAAAATCTTAAAACTTTTAAATGATGTCTGTTGGGTTTTACAATGTTATTTTATTTAATGATATGTAACAGAGTTGTGACAAAGAAAACTTAAGACTTAAAGTTGAAAGTCCTTCTACCTTATCTTATTTCACCTGTTTTAGATTTTGTAATACCATATTCACTGAAATCTGCAACAGGTCCTTTAGGTTATTTTCAACAGAGGAGTTACAGTTTAGTCTGTTTCTCAGAATGAATCCCATTGAGTTGGAATTGAGAGTTTGATCTGTGTTGCTGAATTTACCAGTCCTCTCTTTGTATAAAATGGATGCACACAGCCTACACTTTCCTGATATATCATCTTAGCTATGAAATCATTCTCACTACACAGGGGCTGTTTTTGGAGCATTGCAAGATATACTTGGGAGCCGCTCCATTTCAAAGGAGTACTACAGTCAGACGGGCCGCATACCTGATTGGTGTTCTCTCAACAACCCACCTCTGGAAATGATGTTTGATGTTGGGAAAACACAACCACCACTGATGAAAAGAGCATTTTCCACCGAGAAATAAATGCTTGAATAAATAAATTCAGCCTTGCTTATTTCAAATATTTAATCAATTAGAAGTAAATTGTACAAAGTATGTAGGATGATTTAATATTTATAGGTGACTTTTATGTAACAAAGCACTTCTGTATTTTGTCTTTTCATTAATATTTAATTCATCTGACTTTGTCTCTTGTATCGTATATTGTAGTGGATGCTTGTGAGATAGATAGGTTGTATTTATATCAATAAAATATAGTTAAGCTGTTCAATTTTATTAGTTTATTATGTAGTCCAGTTTCCTCCACAGTTTACATAATCTGTCCTCAGCATTAGAAACTTTTTACTAGGGCTGGTGAGATGGCTCGGCGGTTAAGAGCACTGACTGCTCTTCTAGAGGTCATGAGTTCAAATCCCAGCAACCGCATGGTGGCTCACAACCATCTGCAATGAGATCTGATGCCCTCATATGGGTGTCTGAAGACAGCTACAGTGTACTTACATATAATAAATAAATTTTAAAAAAAAAAGAAACTTTTTACTATTTTTAGCGACAGATCTAGTCCGTGAATGTTAGCCTTTGCAGTCATTTCAGGTCCTTTTTAATTTTTTTTAAAATTATATATGTATAGGGGTGTGTGTGCATATGGATGCAGGTCTCTGTAGAGGCTGGAGGCATCAGGTCCCCTGGAGCTGTAGTCACTCTCTGAGTCATGTGCTGTGGGTGCTGGGAACCAAAATCAAGTCCTCTGGAAGACATATGTATGCTCTTAGCTGCTGAGCCATCTCTCCAGTCCGTTATTTCAGATTCTAACATGATCTGTTCTTCTAAATCGTTTGTTTCACTGTATGCCCATGAAAACTTTTCATATTTTTCAGACTGCTTGATAGCAGGGCCAGGCATTCACTACACAGAGTGTAGAAATGTACACTTTTGAACTTTATGTTCAAGAACATGCAACCTCTACATTTCTATGAAGTATAGTTCATTCATTATAATTTCTAATAAATATGGTCATAATGATACTAACCTTTACTTTTCTTTTTTTTTTTTTTTGGTTTTTCGAGACAGGGTTTCTCTGTGTAGTCCTGGCTGTCCTGAAACTCACTCTGTAGACCAGGCTGGCCTCAAACTCAGAAATGCGCCTGCCTCTGCCTCCCAAGTGCTGGGATTAAAGGCATGCACCACCACCGCCCGGATAACCTTTACTTTTGTGCTATTTTAACACAAGGGTTTTTTCAACTAATGGACTCATTCGTTGTTAAACTTTTATTCTCATTTGTTTAATGAACGTCCCCCTGAAGACAGGTTTTGTGTGTGCGAGTGCAAGTGCATGTGTGGGTAGGAACTAACACAGGTTGTGGTGTGTGTACTTTAACTCCATACATAGTCTAATCACTTCGCTTTCTGAATCCTACCAAGTTTTGCCATATTCTTTACATATGAAGCTACTAATTCTTGAAGAAGATGGCTTCTTGCAATAAGAGTAGGAAAAGAACCTGGTAGCCAGGCAGTGGTGGTGCACACCTTTAATCCCAGCACTCAAAATGCAGGGGCAGGCGCATCTCTGAGCTCAAGGCCAGCCTGGCCTACAGAACAAGTTCCAGAATAGCCAGTGCTATACAAAGAAACCCAGTCTTGAAAAAAACAAAAAATGAAGAACCCCCTGGTATAGTGATATACTCCTGTAATCCCAGCAAGTGGGAGGCAGAGGCAGGTGGATCTCTGTTGTGAGTTCGGGGTCAGCCTGGTCTATAAAGTGAATTCCAGGCCAGCCAAGGGATACACAGTAAGTCAGACATAATGGCTGCATTTCTCTAATGTAGCACTTGGGAGTTAGAGGAGGGAGGATCAGGAGTTCAAGACAACCTCAATTCCATTAGCATGTTGGAGCCCAGTCTGGTCTCTACGAAATTCTGTCCCCAAATACAAAATAATATTTAGAAGGAAATAAATTCTTTACATTCGTCTGATTTTTTTACTTTAAAATACTTATATCTCTCCTATGCAACTTACAAGGCCCTTTACAACTCAAAGGACTAAGATTTACTTGATACCTACTGAACATCTGTATGCCCTGTATACTTGTGGGTACTGTGAATAGTACAGCAGTAAGATGTGTGACCCTTTAGAGGTTAAAGGCTATAGAAACAGATTTGCACACAAATGGCCACCCAAAAGCTAGCAGTTGTTTGTTGCTACTGATGCTACTGGAGAAAAACTCTTTAGGAGGACTTTGACCTGCTTCCTAAAGAGCAGGTAGAACAGTGGGGACAAGTTACTTCAGGTTATGTGAGCAGAGCTTTACACTCAAGGCAAATGAACCGAGGTACTGAAGCTAAGGGTAATATTAAAGTGAGGCCTTGCTAATCACAATCTAAGGAGAAGTTAATCTGAATTTCATGTTAAGCTAGTAATGAAACATCAGCTTGGCCATGAAGTTTCCTAATCTGCTTTGTCCTAAAGGTGATGGTGATGTCTGTCATCGCCTACTGTCCCTGAGCACATTATCTGTCAGGCACTGGGATAGTCATCCCTGCGACACACTGTCATCTTCTGTCTGGAGTGTAAGCACCATAAGGCAGGGCTCCCGTGTCTTTCAGTTTGAACATTCTAAGGATTGTCAGACGTGGTTATACTGTAAATACTCAATTTCATGGATCCACTATTTCGATAACACCTTTTTTTTTTTTTCAGGAAATATTTTATTAAATCCCCATTTGTACATGCTGGCACATATCCGTAGTCCTCCAGATGTAGGATTATCGGAGCCCAGGAGTTCAAGACCAACTTGGGTTGTATACTAAGATTCTAATAAAACACACACACAAAACCTACTCTGAGTTTGTACTGATTTTGTCTTATATTTGGATTGTTTAAGAAAATAAAAATGTTCACTTAAAACAAAATCTGATTGCTCTGCAGCCTTATATAACTACCTGTAAAGTGGCAATTCCAAGGAACAGGTTAAGGGTTTACTACTAACAGATTGAATTGTGTCACCCAAAAAAGACAAGTTGAAGTCTTAACATGTAATACCTGTGAATGTGGCTTTATTTGGAAGCAGGATTGTAGATTTAGTCAATAAGATGACATGTTGTAGGCCCACACAAGCATTACTACAGAGAACAGGGAAACTTGCAGAGAAACAAGTTTTTAGACGAATCACAAGTTTCAGTGGGCATAGTGGTACATGCATAATTCCAGCAATAGGGAAGCCACGGCAAGAAGATGATGAGGCCAGCCCGAGCTCCAAAGTGAGTTTAAGGGTGACTAACTAGATATCTGATTGGCTATTCAAGTTTAACATTAAGAGCTGTCATTCAGGTACTTGGGAGACTGAAGCATAAGAGGACTGTCCAAAGTCAAGCCTGAGCTATACAGAGAAACCGTATCTCAAAAACCATGGTGCAGCATGTCTTTTATCCCGGGAGCCCAGAGGAAGAGACAGGAACGTCTGTGAGTTTAGGGCCTGACCTACATACGGAATTCCAGGCCAGCCACAGTAACAATGAGACCCTGCCTCATTTTTATTTTTTTCATATTTAAGAAAGATAACTGGACTATCAATAAAAGTGAGGAATCCTAAGCGGAAAGCTAGCACTTGAAACTTGAGACACATGGATATGTGTCTGTCAGAAGGCCAGGGAGCTGGGCTTTTGCTATTTCTTTTAAAACTCTGGTCAGAAATTGTGCCTCAGTTAAGATGAGTACTGTACATTGCAGCCCTAACAAGGCTATATAAGAAGAGTTTCTTCCACAGGACCTACCTACATGCTTTGAGCAACTGCGTCCTAGATAAGTACAGTTCACTAGGAGGAGGGCCTAGAGTCACTAGAATTCACAGGGGTGGGGTATGCAAATTTAGCAAGAGGGAAAGTGAACTCATCCATGGAGCACTCCCAAGTTAGGAAGTAGAAGAAAAGGACTCAAGTGGGTAGCCAATCACTAGGGAGGTTTCATCCAACAACTGATGGAGCAGATTCCCCAACAGAAAAACTAAGTGGAGCTCTGGGAACCGCACAAAGGAGGGGGAGGAAGGACTGTAGGAGCCAGAGGGTTCGAGGGCACAAAAAGAAAGAACATGGCCCATAGCATCATCTAAGCAGGGCTTGTAGAGATTGAAGCAACAATCACAGAGCCTGCATGGGTCTGACTTAGGTTCTCTGCATGTATGTTCTGGATGTGTAGCTTGGTTTTCTTGTGAGACTCCTAACAGTGGGAATGGGGTCGGGGGCGTTGGGGAGGTGTCTCTGACTCTTCCACCTGCTCTTAGGACCCGTTTCCTTCTACTGGGTTTGCCTTGCCAGCCTTAAACCGAGGGTACATAGTCTCATTGAAACTTGTTAATCTGTCTTCGGGTGATATCCTTGGGAGGCCTCTTCTTTTCTTAAGAGAAATGGGGGTTGGATCTGGGGTACAGGGGAAATGAGAGGGTGATGGAAGAATTGGAGGGAGGGGAGGGGAGGCTTGAGGTGAGTGGGAGGAGTGGACGGAGAAAAAGCTAAGGTTGAGATGGAATGTATGAAAGACGTTTTAAAGGGGGTTGGTATCTAGAGAGTATCAGTGTGGTGAAAGTCAGATGACAGGTGTATCCACGACGAAGTGATCAAATTTATAATACATACCTCTGATAGGCCAATGGATCAGGCATGGCAATTAACTATTAGGTTTGGTAAAATGGAGATGATGGCCTTTTGGCTGACAGGTAGGGAGCATGAGAAGGCCATAAAATGACAAGAATGGTCTGGAAAACGCAAAAAGTAGACCTAGCCCGGGAAAGTGGTGAGAAATCCAAGCTCCAGAGCATTAATGGACTGATGTTTTTAGCTAGATTGCTTTTTCCCTTTTCTCAAAGAGCAAGCTGGTGGCTGTCCAACCCCAGACGCCAAATACCCCTCTCTTGCCAAAAGCCCATTTATCAGCTGTTCTTCCTTTCAGCTGCTCATCATAGAAATAAGATTGTTCGATGTCACAGATTATACCTCCTCCCCACCCCACACCTCTCTTTTCTTTTTCAGTCTAATTACCCAGGCTGGCTTCCAACTCACAGCA